AACTCATTTTGAATCGCCTCAATCGAACATCGGAATACAAAGTTATGATAAAAACACTGAAAGAAGGTGCAGCTGCCTGTTTAAAACAAGAAATTCCGTTACATAATCCGTTAAAACAACAAATTCCGTTAAATAGGCACTTTTTATATATAGAAAGATAATGAAAAACTTTGTGCATGTTTGGTAATTAATTAAATTAAAATTTAAGTAATTACAAGTTGTGGATCCCATGAATGTGTGGATACAAAATATGTTTGACTAGTAATCACTTCCCAAACATGCTATTAATCAAGACAAGAAGAGAAACAAACAGTTGCAAAAAGGTAATATTCTGTAACATGAAGAAACCTTGTTCGAGCGGACAGGCACTTGATGAAAACGACAGTAGTCAAGAATCAAGCTAAGCACGGGAGCATTAACGTTTGAAGGAAGGGAGATCGGGCAATTCTTAGAAGATCCCACGCCTGAGAGTATTTCATTCCATAAGAAAGGACTACACATGGCAACCTCTCGTTCCACTTGTATTGCACCATCAGAAGTGTTAAGCCACACGCAAGTCTTCGGTGTCTGAAAATGAACAGTGTAATAAGAACAAATTAAAATCGTCAAGAATTAAGAAACATAAAGAAATAGAATCAAAACACAAATACCTTGATAAGAGGCAATTTAACAGAATTTGGACAATTCTGTTAAAATGGTCTCTTGAAAACAAAAGTGAAAAAAATGATATAGTTCTTAGTAGGCTAACTGCAGTAATCTTACATAAACCAGTTCATTTTGACTTAAATGACAAAGAAAATGGTACCTAAACTCTAGAAGATACCTTGTAAGTACCGAACATGACAAAGCCCTGGGTCATTGAGGGCAAGAAACATGAGCTGTTTGCAACCAACGTGCACACTTTTTAGTGTACAACCCAAAAGATATGCATGTTATAGCACCTAAGCCCCACTTATATTTACAGATCGAATGTCATAATTTCTGGGTATACAAGCTACTCAAGCTGAACACTTTGACATCCCCCTTGATGCCACTTCCACCATAGTACCATCCTACAACAAATCTAGCAAACTTCTTATATTGGTAGAACCACCAGGATCAGAGGTGTCAAAGTGGCAGGCCAGTTTGGACCAGCCCGCCTATGGCCGTATTCCAGAACTGGCATGGCTAAGGGGCTATTTCCACACACACAATCATCTTAAAATAAATCTAGTGAACTCATTACGTTGGTAGAACCTCCAGGACTAGAGGTGTCAAAATGAGCAGACCAGCCCAGAACCGACCCCTCTGATAAATTTGTCATCCAGTCCTGGCCCAGACCAGCTTGCTGTCCATCGTATAAGAGGGCTAGTCCCGTCCAATTTCAGTAAAACCAATTAGAATTCCCTTCTTTTCGTAAATTCCAAATGTATCGTCTCAAACGATCTCTGAAACTTGACCCGAACTAGCATCACAGAGAAAGGCTAGAATCCCTGTTCTAGTAACACATAGGTCCTGCCTACCAGACAACCATAACTCAAATGAATATTATCTTTCCTAAATGCATGAGTCTCACACCCTATTCTTCTTTGTTTATCATCCCCTTTTTCCTTTAAAGTAATTTTTTTTAACAAGTCAAAACTTTTCACTAAAACAAACAGAAGAATGGGGAACATTCCCCATATACAAGTTTATGCACATCAATCTTTAAAAGAAAATCACTCTCCAGGTTCTTGGAAAGTATCCATCCATGAACACAAAAAGAAGAGAAATGAACTTTTCATTTGAAGTTCATTGTCAAAATAAAAAGAAAGATACCAGTCAGATTTTATGATAAGGTAGGTAGTCAACCATCACTAACTTAAAAGAAATGGAAGGTAAGGAAATACCATGGGAAACAAACAAAAACGAGATATTAGATTAATGAAGAAAACAAAAATAAGGAGAATTATGTAGCATTAGATAATCAAAACCTGGAATGTGAAAATACCTTAGGTTTCTGTCAGCTTCTGTCATTGTACTGAAATTACCTATAAGATGCCCAGTAAAACACTTTCGCGAAGGTTCATATGTAGGAATTGCTTGTAGTACAACAACATTTTATTTAAGGAAACATTTGATTCAACTACAAGCAAGAACAAATGGAAATTTCTTACCTGTACCTTTTATAAGGCTGAGTAATGAAAACGATGCCAGAATTCTTTCCATGAGAGGCCTATCATAGTTCAAGGATTCTACTAAATGTGGCATGAGGAATGAGCATGCTGCAAATTTAAACCACAGTTGATCCGGTATAAGGTCACTAGTCTTAGTGGTGCAAGGCACATGATATCATTGGCCATTAAATCTGAAAGAGCCTCGAGAAGCCTTCCGTTGCCAATGGTAAGCAACATTATTGCTGGTTTACTTTGCCGAATTTCCATCGTTTTGTCCTCAAGTTTTTGGAATGCAAAGATGCTACAATTTTCACCAGCCTAATAGAATTCTTCAATGACTTCATATTTATCTCTTGACTTTCAACCAATCTCTAGATACACTGACTGAATCCAAATTCCATATTGGCAAAATTTCCATAAACCAAGCAAAATTAGCACTTTTCTCTCATTGTTTCACAAAAATTCTTGTCTCTTAAATACTGGCCAACATCTCCACTCAACATAGAAATCACACCTTTAGCTGTATCATCAATTGCAGGCTCATCTTTTTGTGGGAATCCCTTCTGGTATAGACTTCATATTCAATCTCTCAGACTCTGAACACCTTCTTCTTGATGAAAAAACCAAAGACCCATTAATTGAACAGGCTTTTTTACCCTTCAGCTTATATAAAGTATCATATCCGCTTTTGTCATGGCACACATAGATAGGCGGTGTAATCAACTCATCTTGGATTCTTCTATCTATGAACTTTGCCCATTTTTGGGTTTTCAGAGATTTTAGGTACTCAAATCCATCTTCATATAGCAGTTTATGGAGGAATGCCATGAATTGGTGTGCTGCAAGTGGATAGGAGCCAAAGATGGAGTAACTATGTAAAGTTTCATTGACTTTCTTTTCAGACCTTAAAGATAACAAAAATACACAGCATCAGACAAGGTACAGCCAGTAATTCAATTAACCAACCAAAAATGAGGACAAGATTGCTGATTGATTTCCCATTTTTTTAATTACTAACATTTACTAAATAGTTTTCCTCGGCCATCATACCTGCTAGTATTGTCCAGTTCAACTTACCGAACACTGGTGTTCTTGAATGGATAGAATGTCTGCATTCTCTATTTACCATGTAAGAAGTGTCGAATAATGCAAAAGTATAGAATTTCTCTACAAGGCAAGTGGGATATAAAATAAACTAGATGTTCGGGATTATGGTATTGAGACAGCTTATTTCATTGGGTTTACCTTCTTGAATTTCAGTTTGTTATTTAATGTTCTACAACGATCTATTTGAAGTACCTTTTCACAAGTCAAGACTGTGAGGCACCATTTAAGATTTGGCTTTTCTAGAAAATAAAAAATGTATATGGTAAATTAAAAAATAATTTGTTTATTGCTCACTTTTTCTCTTACTTAATAAATAAAAATAAAATATCATCTATTGTTTTCGCCAATTCAGTCCCCATGGACCAAATACAGTGCCAGTTGAGTTGAGCCAGTAGCCCTCACTTCCCTTGTTACCTCCAGGTAATGGATAAGTTTGTGGAAGATGACTTACCCAATGTATACTAATTCGACGAATCACCCTAGAGGAACAGATAATCGAGCATGTGCAGTTTTTGGAGACAAAGTTCAAAGGGCATTTACAAGGACGAAGCTGGGCTCCGTAGCTCTCAACTGTCCACTTCCTCCACTTCATCTTCATCTTCATCTTCATTATGGTAGGTTAAGGCTGTTCTCAAAATAGGCAATTTCGAAAGAATTGTGCTTGCTTATAGCATTGACAAAACATCTCATACAAACTAACTTTTCAAGCAAAGAATGAGAAGGCATCTAACAGCATTCTTCTCAAATGCAAATTACCTGTTTTATGTGTGACGGTTCTGACTTATCAATAAAGCAATTGCAAAATGAAAACCAAGAACAAAAAGTGCTTCCATTAAACAAATTGTTAACATACAATAGAAAGACAATAATCAAGCCAAGATAGATTAATAAACCTCGTGACAAGTATTCCAGATCAGTTATAGCTGTTTCGCTACCTCTTATTTGAATTTTTCCTCTGCAATAAGCAACATAGCATGGAATACGTGGTCTGCCACTTCTCAAAGTGGAAAGTCAGAAATTGAAGAAAAAGCTGAACCCAAGGAAAGTCATGTACTTCTAAAAGAAAATTTCGTGAACGAGGAAGTATGGAAGAAACTACAGATTCCATGGAAAACATGATTATTCTACCCAAAATGCAAGGAATTAAAATGAATAACATGTTCAGCTCATCTCAACTTGTCCGTAATGGTTTTTTCAAATTTTCCCACATAGCTGGACCTTCTGGGTGTATATTGACAAAATATCTTACAAATCTCGCATCTGAACAAGCAAGAAGTGTGCTCACTGACAACAAGGGTTTTGCAGCACCTTTTTCCCTTAGCCATGCATACATTGAAAATCTTAGCATAATTCTCTCTATATCATAGCATAGGTAAGATGGAAATGCCACGATAGAAGACACCGGGTATCCCAAGTAGTTTTTCAAACAATCGATCTTTTTCTCAAGAACATCTTTCATCTGATTTAAAGTAGTAGGCGCCTGTTTGACCATACTTGATACAACATTATAGTCCAAACCAGCTTGCACCAGGCAATCAAATCTCTCTTGCAAATGATCTCCTCTACCTCGGAACCTTTTCAAGGCTTTTGCCATCTCATCTGAGTTTTCAACATAACCAATTCGTAGCAAAAATTCAGTCTTTTCCAAGTATTTGCTTGGATTCTTGGATGCCACATCGTTGCGATAGATGTCTGATTTGGAAGCCAAACTGAACAATTTCAAAAATATCAAGTCCCGTGGAACAAAAGAAGTTGACTGCGTCTTGCTCAAACCCAAACTCTCCAAGAATGGCTCAAACTCGTTGATAGGATGATACCTGAAGAACTTGGACAACGCTTTCGAAACATCCTGCTCGCTTTCAACCTTGGAAATTAAGTCCTGGAGGAAATTGGCAAATAATCAAAAAGTGCAATCTGAGCATCAATTTTGGCAACACGTGAAACCTTGACCGGGACAGTAACTGCAGATTTTGGGACTGAAAACGCAACATTGTTTTTGGCAGGTCCTGAACCGTGAAAGCATCGGATTTTTAGGAGTATGTGAGATGAGGGACTAGGGTATTTTTCACTAACAGCAGGGGACGGAAAGAAGTTATTGAGCTGGGAAATCATTTTAGAAGATACCCTTTTGCTGATTTTTCGAATTAACATGGCAAAACAACAAATTAAGAGGAAGCTCTTGTCAGGGTCGGTCCTGTGATTATTGGGGCATGAGGCAAACTCCCAAAGTTGGGCCCCCCAAAACAATGTATTGCTAACTTATCACTGAACAGTAGACACAGCATTGAAGAAGCGCGCGTGCACACAGCATTGAAGGAGCTACCTATAAATGAAAAATATAAAAAATGAAATAGTATTTATAAAAAATAGGACACAGAGAGAAATGCAGGTTGCTTACAAGATTTAAGCAAACACAAATTCCAGATTAGAACAAGCATTAATAGTTAAAATAAAATTCGTTCAGATAAGTATATTTTCAACGCAAAAATATGCAAAAAAATACAAAAATGGACAGAATTTAAATCCTGAAACAGGGCTTAAAAAAACCCCATAAAAATTTTGCATAAACGATCGACCAAAAATCCTAATTTGAAAACCCTAGATTGTTTTGTAGCCATTCTGCCCTTTTCTTGCATGCATAAATAAAAACTACATTCAAATCTGGAAAAAATAAAAAATTGAAAAACATAAAAATCATCAAAATGGAAAACAGAGAAAGAACGAATGATTTACATGTAAATGCAAAATCAAAAAGTAAATGAGGACCTCGAAATGGTTCTCCAGCAAATGCAAAATTTCGAAATGGTTCTCCAATATATAGGTTAAAAATTAAGACCTTAAATTAAATGTAAATGCCAAGAAAAGAAGTATTGCAGTCGTAAGTCGTACTGCTTACCGGCATAGTTTGAAAAAACGTAAACGGGTACAGATGGTTTCATTGAGCCCAACATCTTCTCCATTATTTTTTTTTCACTTATCCCTAAAAATGAAATAGTATTTATTAAAAATAGGACACAGAGAGAAATGCATGTTGCTTACAAGATTTAAGCAAACACAAATTCCAGATTAGATCAAGCATTAATAGTTATAATAAAATTCGTTCAGTAAGTATATTTTCAAAGCAAAAATATGCAAAAAAATACAAAAATGGACAGAATTTAAATCCTAAAACAGTGCTTAAAAAACCCCATAAAAATTTTGCATAAACGATTGACCAAAAATCCTAATTTGAAAACCTTAGATTGTTTTGTAGCCATTCTGCCCTTTTCTTGCATGCATAAATAAAAACTACATTCAAATTTGGAAAAAATAAAAAATTGAAAAACATAAAAATCATCAAAATGGGAAATAGAGAAAGAACGAACGATTTAAATGTAAATGCAAAATAAAAAAGTAAATGAGGACCTCGAAATGGTTCTCCAGCAAATGCAAAATTTCAAAATGGTTCTCCAATATATAGGTTAAAAATTAGGACCTTAAATTAAATGTAAATGACAAGAAAAGAAGTATTGCAGTCATAAGTCGTACTGCTTACCGGTGGGAAGGAAGGGAAAGCAAGAGAAGAAGAGTGGAGTGTGGAAACTGGAATTTAGACCGGCGTTGGCGCGGCTTGAAGTACGGTTGGAGCTTGGAGGAGGACTGGACGGGGCTCAGACGCAGGGAGTGAATGAAACGAATAGTAAATTCCTTCTGTTGTTAGGTTAAAAAAAATGTTGGGCGAAAATTGAGTGAGGCTCTCTAGTGTTAGGCTAGGCTAACCAAATTAACAAAAAAAAAAAGAGCCAAAAAATGAGGACCCTTCCACTTCTGGGCCTGAGGCGTGGGCCTCATTTGCCTCTATACAGAATCGGTCCTAGCTCTTGTTTAAAAGCAAAAATCGATTAAACAAATGAGTACTTACAAGAAGGAGCGCACGCACACGGCTGTATATCGACTGTATAGCTATATACAGCTACCAGATTCGACTGTATATCGGTTCTATAGCTGTATACAGTTGATTCGACTGTATACAGCCGTTTTCGGCTCTATACAGCCTGTATATTGGCTGTATAGCTGTATACAGCCAAAAAAATGGCTCTATACAGTCGGATTCAAATGTGTACAGCTTGTATATCGGATGTATAACCGTATACAGCCATTTTATGACTATATACATCAAATTCGGCTGTATACAACCGAAAAAATAGTTGTATATACTTTTTTGCTTGATAAGTACCCTTCAATCCAATCACTTTCAAACCTCAGTTCTTTAAGTTTCTCAACAACCCCTATAAGAGCATTGTTTACATCACCAACCAAAAACTGGGGGCTGCAAGTTACTAGTTTTATAACGTCAATCTACTCAAATCTAATTGCTCGTAAACCCTCAATTTCATATCTAAGACTCATAGTTCATATTTGAATATCTCATTTGCTTCCATATACATCATTCCAATCTTACTCATTGGGAACCCATAATCGCAAAGAACTTGATAATTATCCAATAAGACTTGATCGTCACTCAGAGCTATCAAGTCCTGTGGAACAAGAGAAGTTGACTGTGTCTGACTCAAACCCAAACTCTCCAAGAATGGCTCAAACTCGTTGATGGGATGATACCTGAAGAACTTAGACAACGCTCTGAAAACATACTACTCGTTTTTTCAGCTGTATACAGCTATATAACCGATATTGGCAGTATAGGTGTATAAAGCCGAAAAATGGCCGTATACAGTCGAATCGACAGTATAGCTGTATATAGCCATCGGATTCGGCTGTATACAGCCTGTATATCGGCTGTATAGCTGTATACAACCGAACAAAATGGCTGTATACAGCCGGATTCAGCTGTATACAGCATGTATATCGGATGTATAGTTGTGTACATCCGTTTTACCACTATATACACCAAACTCGGTTGTATACAACCGAAAAAATAGATGCATACCTCCAAAAATTCGTTTGTCGTCTGTATACATACAGCCAGCCGATTTCACACAGCCAAATCATTCAAAAAATTATGCAGATGAATTTTTTTCTCCCGTTCAAGCTTAAAAAATTTATAGATCCGCTAAAAAAATTTATCTGCTAACAACCTATGTCGAATCTTAATTTATCGAGTAAAAACGTATACACATTTAACGAAAACGAAATTAAACATACGTAAATAAGCTCACCGATTCGAAATATTTAACAGAAAATAATATTTTTCTTCGACTATTGATGTTTTTGAGAAATTCAGAGCGAAGGAGATGAGAGAATTTTTATCTGTATTTGAGCTGATTCTGTAATTTATGTAGAGAGTGTTTGGTTTTTATTTATTAGCTAAAAGGATAATATTGTCTTTTTAACAGAACCATATTTTGTAATTATTTTATTCACTTAAGGGCGTTTCTGTCTTTTGAACACCATTAGGTCATTTTGAAAATATTGATTTGTGGAAAAGTTAAAATGGAATTTGGACCCTTTGACTAGGTCATTTTTAAAGAAACCCCTCAAAATGGTAAGTCATTTCATAGTCGTCGGATACGGAGCCACTTGCGATCTAGTAGGGATGTTGGTCCTTGGTATTTCACGGATTACACTTGAGAGCCAGGCAAGTCAACCTTCTTTACAAAAAATGAACCAAAACTTACTGAACTCCAAACTATTGTCTCCTACTTCTAGCTTCCCCTTCAACCTTCAAAGTCCTTTACTAAAAAAAAACACTGTTGATATAAATCCTTCTGAAGCTGCCCCTTCAGCAGAGTCATCTCCTGATGAATCCACTATTACAATTGAAGGAGAGACTGTAATACCCCGAATTTCACATTACATTTGGCTAATCCCGAATTTCACATTACATTTGGCTAATATGATTCATGCATTTCATGCTTGATAATGTCATTTGCATTAAATTTCCTGATTGATTTCTTTTAAATGATGCATTTGATAGTCGAGGTGCTAAGANCTTTCTTTTAACTGATGCAGTTGATAGTCGAGGTGCTAAGACTTTTATAGGGTGTTAGTCTTCGGCTACTCGACCTAAGCGGTGAGTTTTACATCGAGTTATGGTAGAAGAATTAGGTTAAGTTAGGTATTGGAGATTGGTTTGCTATGGAAATTGATAGAATGATAGTGATTTCTAATTAGGGATTTAGGGATTTTGGAAATTGCTAGTGATTTCTAATTAGGGATTTAAGGATTTTGATAAAATTGAGTAGGCAATTGTGATTTTGAAGCGGTTGATAGGGATTTTTGTAACTGTGAAGATGTTCTCAGTTGATAGGCAATTGTGATTGATTTCTTATCTAACGTAGAGAATAATTGTAATAAGATATCTTTTACTTTCATTTGTTCGTCACTTTGTGAAAGTTAAAAATATTGATTTGTGGAAAAGTCAAAATGGAATTTGGACCCTCTGACTAGGTCATTTTTAAAGAAACCCCTCAAAATGGTAAGTCATTTCATCGTCGTCGGATACGGAGCCACTTGCGATCTAGTAGGGATGTTGGTCCTTGGTATTTCACGGATTACACTTGAGAGCCAGGCAAGGAGAAAATCATAGACAACTACATCAAAAATTCAAGACAAAACTCTGTTTCTTGAGGAAAATTACCATCAAAAAACTAAAAACTAAAAAAATACTAGGAGCTAGAAGATGATAATCTTAGGTCGATGGATGTTGTTTCAACACATGAAGCCTATTTTTGCCTGTTTCCTACCGAAGAAGGAGGGCGAAGTCCAAGGCAAGAACCGGTTGTGCCCTTTTGTTACCGATGGGGCTTTAAATGGGAACTTGTTTGATGGAACTCCTGGCTGCTACAATCTTCAAGTGGAAATTACACAATACCAGATTTTAAACTTTCAATTTCAAAATTCTGATTAACAAGTTTTTACTTAAAAAATCAAGTGATAATTAAAATTTTAATAATTATATTACAACATTAAATATACAAATTTATTATACACAATAATACACACCAAAACCCTAATTATTTCATCCCTTTCATTTTCTCTCTCTACTATACCTCCTCCTCTCTTTATCGTCGTCGCATGCCCATTCCCCCCCTCTCTCTCTCTACTTTACCAGAGAAATCAAAATCAGAAAATAGAGGCTAAATAAATCACATTAGTAAGTGGGTTGGGGCTTACAAATTGATGAGGTTGGCTACAGGTTTAGTGTCGGAAAGAGTTGGTGGGCTTCATCGTCTTGCTCAATTACGGCGTCGATATCGCTAACCTCTGTCACAGATTCCAGCACCTTCTTGTGCAGACTCCTGTAGTATTTTCCCTTCTCTTTCGAATCCTTAACCATTTGATTGTGGTGCTTCACCAAATCCTCACTCTTATCACCATTCCCCATTATGGTTAATTAATGCTACTATTTCTTTCTTTTTCCTCTTCAGTTCAATTTAACAAATACAAATGCAAAATAATAGCACAAAAAACAATATTTCGAATCATTCAAAAATAATTTGTGACATTTCAATTTTTTATTTGTGACCTATAAATTTTTTGAATTGTGACATGTAAAATTTGTAATTTGTGACTAATTAATAATATGTGACCAATTATATAAAATTTGTGACCAAATTATAAGGAATTGTGACCTTAATATATTTAATTAATAAAATATATGTTGAATTAATTAATTTATAAATAAAATTTAAACAAAAATCTGAGATTTGAAATTTTAAACAATCTGAAATCTGAAATTTGAAATTAAACTTTATCTCTTAAATTTGAAATAGGTGAAACTAAACCTCTTAATAATGAAATTTTCCCTAAAATGAAGCCCCATTGATTTGTCCAAGCCCATGTCCTTGAGTCCATTCAAAGGTCCACTATAAAGCTGACCCGACCCAATTTGCATGCCAATTTCATAATTTTACATGTCCTCTACTAGCTTTTGACATCTCCGGAAATCATATTTTGTTCACCAGATGAAAGACACATTTTTATTATACTCTACTATGTTGGTATCTTCCCACGTGCTAACAAAAGGTGATGTGTCGATGAAGGTGAGTTTTAAATTTCGGGCCCTGTTTGGAAAATAAGCCCCCGTTTGGCATCCATTTATTTTTCATTCTTATTCTTTTTTTCATTCTTTATTTCAACCACACATTCTATCAATAAAATAATATTACACATAAATCTAAAAATTCTTTTTACTTTTTAACCACACATTCTTCCATCAATCACTATTCAAAAACACATTTTTCTACTAAAATGGGTGTCAAACACTCCCTAAGTTCTTATGTTATAAATTATAGGGCCTACATATATATGCAAAAATAAGTCAAAAAGTATCAACATCCTTAGACTCGTTTGTTGTGGGTTAAAAAGTTGATAAAATTTTGAGTTTTAGGGTGGTTTGAGCCACATTATTTTGGAAGAATGTATTTTGGAATAGTAGATTGATAGAGAATATATGGTTGAAAAAAAAAGGAAAAGTTTTTGACGAGATATAAAATATTATTTTATTGAAGAATGTGTGGTTGAAAACGGGTAGAAGAATGAAAATGAAAATTTGAATGTGTACCAAACAAGGGCTTAAGTCAATAATTAATTCCAACTACACATTTCATGTGATTCATAACTTTTATCAATTTTTCAATCATATATTTTATCAACTTTTACGAAAACGACACCAAAGAGGGGTTTAGTGCGGGTTCCAAAATTAACTTGGTTCTACTTTAAAAATTAAAATAATATTAGGAACACAATTTTATCCATATGAACTACACAATGATTGTGGGCTGTCAAAGAGACCCTATACACCTCTCCATCACACAATTATTTGCAAAAAAAGGGCAACAAAATGGCATCATTAGAGGGTTGGCTGGCTATGCTTACGTATTTTATATTTTATTCAAATCTGCCTGCAATTTGCAG